CACAGGTTACCAAAGGAAGAAGATTCATTACTCCTGACATGTAAAGCAAGACTCAGCAAAACTCCAGAAAACATATTGCCTGGAATAATCTTTGATATTTTCCTTGACCCAGCAAAAAGACACTTACCATCCAGGTAACTATATCACCTAAGTATAATCTAAATTACAGCAACCAAAAAGTCTTTCCCATAAGAGCCTCAACTAAACCACAACCTAAAATGTGCAAAATAACCTAATGGCGCACAGAAGGCTGACGCATTGCATCAACCTAGTAATGAGAAGCTTAAATCTTACAATACCTTGTAAGTCATTTTTACAATTGTGTATTGACACAATAAACAAGGGTTTAGCAAACAAATTTCCGCAAAAGCAGCTTTTAAAAGGCAACAAGGAGGTCAGGCTCTTCTCCGTATTTATCATTTTGTTTGTTTCTAATGACTTCCTTAAGTAAAAAGCCACAGGAAGACTAGATGAACTTACTGAGAGAGTTCCATCACAGGAATAAAAGCAGATTAAATTCTGTGCAGTATATTATGGACAATATTCTTAAGACTACTTCGGTGGTAAAACTGTGATTTCCCCTCTAAGCCCTATAACTAAAATGAGTAAGAAACTACGAAACAGAAATCAGAAGCAAAAAAAGAAAAACTAAGCTTCAAACAAGACAAAAGAAACATTCTTCGGGATCAAGGAAACGAAATTGGTGGCAGTAGAACCCAGAGCTGTAATCCACTCACATAAAACCAGTGAAAATCAGATAGAAGATGAAAATACTAGAGTTCAAGAGGCCACAGAGAACAGTAGCATCACAAGGGCAACACATTGTTTAATCACCGTGAAATTCCAGATGACAGCACTCAAGGACAGAGAGGGAGGAAGGCATCAGTGCCTGAAAAAGAAAACATGAAGAGCACGGGCAGAGGAAAAAAAAAAAAAAAAAAAAGTGAGCCTCTCTTAGTAGCATGAAGCAGTGAAAGCTTCAGTGAAAATGGAAAACCAAAACCAAGAGATTCTGGGGTTTGCTGAAACAAAATAGCAATGACTAAGGAACCGATTCTTAATGGTGTATTTCAATTATTAATATTATTCAATAATGACTATTACAGCTTACGGCTCTGCTTATCCTGACAATTTCTGTGACATCTGCCTTGATGTTTTAGCAAGGAAGACCAATGCGTCTGCAAGAGTTACAAAACACTTCACCTCAAAATACACAAATACTTCTCCCACAAAGGATAACAAACTTCACTCAGCAGATATAACTGTCCAGTTAGCAATAATGGACAGCCCTGCGTACCACTTAGAATAAGTTTTGTGCTTGGAACACAGATTCAACCCCTTGCAGGATATTACAGTCTTCTTGGAGTTAAAGGTCCTACTAGGAGCTTTGAAAAATTCAAGTATAAAGAAAAGCACTCAGTTCAATGTAGCAGCATTGAGTGCTGGATGAACTAATAAAAACAATAAAGCTGCCTCAGATTTTAATCAACAGTCTGGCAAAAGTAGGCTCAAGTTTTCCAACCATTCTGGCCATGAAAACACAAAATTTATGGTTTCCCTTACAGAAGACAAAAAAAAAAAAAAGTCTCCCTCTGAAAGCACCATTTAAAAATTTCTGAAGTGTGATGGAAGACAAACAGTGTAACAAACTAATTTATCTCCAACACTAACATAATATTTTCTCCAGTAGAAAATTGTGGATATCTCCAAGGTTCCTGGCTGCAGCTGAGTAACTGTTCAGTATAACATTCCAGCAGGTCAGAATACATGCAAGAGTAAGTTGAATATGACATCTGAAAAAAACTACTAAATAGCTAACTAGATCTCAACAAAATATATCAAAATTACCATCAAGCCATTCCTAGCTCACAGGACGTTTGATCTTACTGAAGTTCACAAAACAATTACTTTACACTACAGGTAGTCAGCCACTGCATTGCCTGCAAGTGCACTTTCCCCTTTTTCAAAAAAAACAGTGAACTTCCTGGCCTTTTGGAAAACAGGACTGTGACTATGCAGTTACACTTCTCTAAAGCAGCATACCAACAGTTTTCAGCACGCTAGGATTCATACTAGGGTATTTGTGCAGTGGCAGCGGTTATGATTGATGATATGCAAAGATCTGATCTGTTGCAAAGAGGATGTAACACAAACCACAAAGGAACTACACACTTCAGCCTGTATTGGTGGGCACCACATAATGAAGACCATACGCTGGAGATCCTGAACATTTTCAGCCAATCTTTTGATTCTGGCAGATTTCGCAACTTTCCTTTGCAGAAATATTCTGCCCTTGAGAGATAACATACCCAGCAACAGCCTACAACAAAGTAGCTACAAATCTCTGGTTGCACACCGTGGCTGTCTTCCCCTGCCACCATCATAGATCTAAACACAAAATTATTAAAGCTTTCTTGAAACTGCTCACTTCACTACTCCACATGCTGTGAGACTGAATGACGCACAGCATTTTCAAACATGTAAGGCTGAAATGCGGAGGATGATTATTACTTGAATTCACTGGTGCTATTATGTACCTCGTGAAAAGATAACACTTGTTTACACCACTTTCAGTTGGGCAGGTTAAAATATATAGAATGGTTAAATTGTGCGGTTTGGGTTTTGTGAAAGTGGAGAAAAGCACTAGCTTTATAGCTAGTTTTGTTTAATTGCTTATGTGATATTCAAAATACAAGAAGTTGAGAGGTTGGAAAGAAAAAGCTGATTTCTCAACACTGACATTTAATGCATAGTCCATAAACGTATTTCTAGGTACTTTAGTCATGTAGTACACTAGTGCAGTCTGTATGCCTATGTCCTTGCATATGGGCATTTCAATCTACTCATTTTCCTTTACAAATCAGGAACAATTCTAGCCTCTACTTCAAAACAAGCAAAGACTTAAAGCTCTCAGAATGCAATAATAGGGCTCTGTATGGTGATAAATGAGTTAGTACCGTCCTATAGAAAATTCGGTACTATTCTCTAGAGCAGTGACATCCAGTGAAGCTTCTTTTCACTGCATCTGGAGTGTAGCCATCAAACAAGTTTCAAGTAGAATCTTCTACACATTGCAGGACACACCAAGACTCAACAGGTTAAGTCTGCTATGCAGTATCACATTTAAAAAAAACCAAACCTAACAATGTTTAAATAAGGCCAGAAAAAAAATAATCTACCTGGTAGGGTAGATGGCTTCATACAATACAGCCATTACTTACTGAAAAATGTTAATAAATGCATAGCCACTTTTTTTTCTTAAAATAATTGCTAGCTAGGACTTTATATTCTGTTTTTATCTTTTAGAAAAGAATGATTAGTAAGGCTCTTGAGCCATAATTTCTTACTTTTAGAACAGATAAAATAGTCATAGTAGACTGATACATAAGCCTAACTCCTCGCTCAAATACAGGAGCAAACGTTCAGACCAACTTCTGGGAACGACAAGTTTCCTTACAGGTGCCAAACGGAAGCTTTAAAGTACTTGTAATGATAAGTTTAATTGTGTTGATTTCTGTTCATAAGGGAGAATGGCTTCCAGTGCACTACATAATCACAAGAAAAACTACTACAGAAGGAATACAACAACATTCTTAATATTTAAAATGTCTTGAAGAGCTATAACACCTGTATGATGCAGCCTAAATGGACACTATCAGAGCAGTACGTGTTTTAACCGTCTAACGTTTCTGTTCACACTAAGCACCTGCTCCTCCAGATAGCCTATGTTCACAGGCTCACAGGATAGCTGAGGTTGTACAGCACCTCTGGAGATTGCCTAGTCTAATCCCTCAGCTCCAAGCAAGGTCAACAAGAGCAGATTGCTAAGGGTCGTGTCCAGTTGGGTTTCGAGCCTCTCCAAGGACAGAAATACACAAGCTACACAAGCTCTGGGCACAACCTGTTCCACTGTTGGACCATCCTTGCAAAAAAGTGTATTACATTTAAATGCAACTTTCTGTATTTCAATTTGTGACCACTTCCCTTCAGTGACCATCACTGAGAAAAGCCTGGCTCCGTCGTCTTCAGTCCCCTCCCCATCAGGTATTTATACACATTGATAAGATTTGCCCTGAGCCTTCTCTTCTTGAGGAGCCCCAGCTCTCTTGGCCTCTTTCTGTACAACACATGCTCCCGTCCCTCAGTCATCTTCGTGGTCTTTTGCTGGACTCATTCCAGTATGCCCATGCCTTTCTGGTGTTAGGTAGACCAGAACTGGAGACAGTGCTCCAGATGTGGTTTCACCAGTGCTGCCCTAAATCTAAAACTGCTGAGCTTTACACTTAACTTTATCCAAAATTCTTCATCCTCTGTCGCATTTCAGTTGATAGAGATGAAAACCAACAGGTTACCATTTCTCAGTAACTCAATTGTTTAGAAAACTGGTTTTTACCTTCTAAAAATATACAAAAGCAAAATTTATTCTAATCCTTTGAAACAAAACACAGACTAATTGAAGAGTGGGCAAATGAGACAGCTATCTACAGATCCTCCAAGGGTAAGGAGGATTTTACCACACCACTAAATCAGGAAAACCAAAGTCACATTTCCCTAATATCCTCAAATTATACCAGTTATTGTTTAGAGACACCTAATAAAATAACAGACTACTTTTACTGGAGCTTGATTAAGAGTTCCCCCTAAAAGAGAAAGAAAGAAACACCATAAAGCACATACGAATCACAAGTGAGTCTAAAAATAAATGGTCATGAGATTGTCTTAGTCATAACATTTTATTAGAAATACTGGGGGGTGGGGGGGTGACTTTTTGCTTTTAGGACTCATGTTCTCAAATTTGTAACATCAGAGAAGGCTGTAAACTTATCTAAAAATTAGGTATCTTACAGTTGTGTGTTCTTAGAGCTGAAGATTTAAGGAAAAAACCAACAAACACAGGTACTTCAAAAGTCATACAATTAGTTAGACACACTGGAAAACTTAATGTGATACAGAACACTGAAAGAAAGACCAAGATGCAATAACAATAGCTTTTAACTTACATTTGAGTGTTTCTCCAGCATAAGGGATATGTAGCTTAAACCGATCACAGCTAGGTCCAGGGGTCAAGGATGTACAGCTAAAAATGAAGATAAGAGAAGAATGTGCTAAGCAGTTACAGATGGTAGCAGTCACTAACATTATTCTACAGGGTACAAATGACTGACATAGTAAAGATGTTGTGAATACTAGAAATACTCATCCTTACGATTCTGGGAAAGAAGAAAAGGTGGGAATGACGCAGGAGGCCCATTCTCTTTTGATCAGCAGTTCTCACAACATAAGAAACTTTATAATCTGTGCCCACTATCTTCTTTCCCATTCTAACATGGAAAATAGATACATAAAATGCCCTAGTTTGAGAGTGTTATTGCAATAATAATCAATTGCTCAAAGCTATCAAATTCTCTACTTTGTATACAACTTTGCAGGTCACAACTCTCTTGTCTACACCACAGTAACACGGTTACATGCTCCCTATCCCTGCATCCAGATACCTTGGAAGAATCTTGATTTTAACACACCAACTTTCAGTAATTTTTACCTACTTTAGCCTTTAATTTTTCCTCATGGAAAAGTCTGTCAGTAAGCCTCCAGGTGAGCAAGTTTCAGAATTGGGTATTGACAACTGAGCACGTATATTTGTGATCTGTGACTATTTCACATCTCCTATTTATCTGGAACACCACAATAGCAGTTGGGTCCCACTCATGAGTGAGCATCTTATGAACATAAAAGTCACTGAAAAACTGTTTAGTGTCTAGGCTAGCGATGACCAACCTTTTCACACCTTTTTAAGTCACGTACCAAAATCTTTGCATAACAAAGACACAAAAACTTCAGCTGGAAAATGAGAAACAGCAACACAAGTTGTTTCACTGGCAGGAACGGGTCCTGGAGTTCTCACCACTGTGGGCTGGTGGGCATATGACAGGTCCCAGTAGCAAAAAATACCAGACACCCTTAGCGGTTCATTGCTTTCTGTATGTATGGATCCTGATAACCCAGAAGTCCAGTATCATTGAGAATTGCTTATAGCCCCAGCACAAAAGTTACACTTCTTGCAAGCCACTTCAAGCTCAAAGCTAAAGACTAGCCAACTCCAGGCAAATAAAATAGTGAAAAGAAGGTAGACAAAGGTAAAACTCGCCTAAGCTCAGGTATCAGATCACTGGTAGAGCTGTAACACAAACCACCGACAAAATAATGAAACAAAAGCCAAGTTTACTGGGCCATACAGACAACCAAAGGCAAAAAGATGGGTATGGGTAGGCCAGAAAGCACAAAAATTCTGCTCCTACCTTAATACAACTATATGACACAGTAACTCCTGCAGCTCTACCTGTCTTACCGCAAAAAAGGCATCAGGGCAAACCTGGAAATGTTAATTCTCACTAACACACACAAAATGCTTCAGAGCGCCATTACTCTCAGTTGCTGGCTCTATCTCTTTTCTCTTTACACTCTAAAGTTAAGGACACCACGTGTGCTAGCTTCAGATTGTTTTTATTCAGTGAGCTACATTTACTATTTAATCAAATTTGTGCCCACATGTAGCTTCATCAAAAAGCACCAGCCACAGAACTACAGATCAATTAACTTAAATGAAATCTCCACAAAAATACCAGAAAACATAAGCAAACCCCTTGCGTGCTCGTAGAATCTAACACAGATACAATTAACGGCCTACATTGATTCAACAAGAATGCACTGCATTTTTTAGTAACATTACAGAAATTAGAAAACTGTTCTTGCAAATAAAAGGGAAGCAACACATGTCACTACCGTCACTTTAGAAAGGCTTCTGCAACGTCTTGAGAGAGCATCATGCAAACCAATCTACAGAAACGTAATTTAGATACAACTACTATCAGATGTGTGCAGAGCTGACTGGAAAGCCAGTTGCAGAAAAGATTATTTCACATCTTGCTTCATCCAGGAAGAACACACTGGCTGGGTTTTCTTCTAGCAGAAGACCACTTTGCATTTAATTGAAAGACTGATGATGGAAAAGAGATGATGTTTACTAAACCCGCCTACAAAGCCAAAAGGAAAGGGAATACAGCATGCTAGATGACAGGACCAGAGCTGAAAAGTGTTTTGATTTAATGGTCTATATTACTTTTTTTTTTAATTACATCTAGGTAGGGCTTAGCAAGAACAGTATCACCACCCTCACTGGCAGAAAAATCCTGTTCTGTTTGAGAATACAAAAGATTGGAGCTCCAGTGCATCTGAAACAAGAATATAATTGTTTTCAAAGACGCTGGGGTTTTTTAGTAGGTGACAACAGCAAAACAGGAGTGCCTATAGTTATAGTTTCAATGGCTGGGGATTAATTAAACAGCTATAGGTATGAGAGTATTATTATCTACTTTCAAGTCATTTCTAAAGCTTACATCACATACAAGGCCAGTTTGAGGAAGCATAAAAAAAAGGCAATACACAAAATAAAATCCTTTGCAAGTTCCAAAATATCTCTGCAAAATCAGTTAATATTTAATGGAAGTTTCTTTCAAAGTATCACAGGTCACAGACTGAAGCACATTTCTCAAATGCCATTAAAATAATGTTGTTAGCTTTTCAACAGACCCAAACATTTCTGATCCTGCAAACACCCTATTATCTTTCCTTTTAGCACAATTGGCCATTTGGAAATACTTATGGAAAGTGTAATATTGTTTAATATTAAAATAAAAGCCTGATTTAACGGTAAATGTCCCTAAAAGCAATACTACACATCTTTCCTAGATTATTATACTCCACTAGAGATGTTTTTAATTTTACTGCTCTAGAAGCAACAGAAAGTGACACTATTCAGAGCTGGTGTTTTGTTTCGTTTTGGTTTTTTTTCCAAATTACTCTGGCCAGGCTGCTCAAGAGACCTCAATAATTGCAACAGGCTCAGCAACCAAGCAAAAAATCTTACGTATGTCCATCTGAAAAGACAGCTACTTTTTAGTATAAACAGTAAAAGAACAAAACTCCAAAAGCAACCCAAAACTTCAGTACACCTAGAAGTCTACGTGTGACCTTATTTCAACAGAAAGCCACAGATAAGGGCCTGTCAATGGACGTCATCTCCTGCTTGAATTTCCTCAACACACAGAACCTCTCAATTACAAACACGCCTGACCCAGAAGCTTGGCCTCTGTCTTCTCCAAAATGTAAGATTTTACATTTGCTGATCCTTTCACTTGACCTGGTCCACAAAAAAAGGTCGCACTGGAAAGGAATGACTTCTAACGAGGTCTTTTAAACATTATTTGTTGCCCTATCTTCACAGGGAATTGACAGATAAAACAGTAATACTTGGTGTTAAAAATTAATTTCAGAAGCTGACTCCGTCTCATGATGAATGGATGTGCTATCTCCCTCTTTATTCATGGAAAAATATTACACTGGTTTGCATATCTTCATCTGAATAGCCAATATTTTACACCAGAAAGCCATGGAAGCAAGAATTAATGCTCTGATGCTCAGAGCAGTGATATGAATTAGTCTTCATAAGGTGATTAATGCTACACCACAAGATCTCCCACAATGGTTTCCCTACTAAAATATCAAAGAATCATCAACTTGACAAGTGTCCAGGACAAAAGAATATCCTTTAATGTATCACTTAAAATCATGCTGCCCTATTCTAAGTAGCTGTGCTGAGACCTACAGCTGGAATCAGATAGATGGAATGGAGTATGCAAGAAAGCACAGCTGAATGCAAACTCTTCTCTTTCTCAGCAGATTTTAGCTAAGTTCCTTGAGCAAATGCAGCAGATTAAACTTGAGTTGAGATACAGCACATCCTTATGAGATAGGTATTCCAAGTAGGAGACAACTAGAACATTCCTTTGTTGAGTGTTTGATGCATCTTACAGTTGAGATCATCTGTGACCTGTTGGGAAAAGGTTTCTTTCACAGTAAATAAAATACACATAAACTAAACCAGTTCTTCTTAAAAAAAAAAAAAAAAAGTCACTGTCAGCACCAGATGCTTAGTTAGAAGTGTTCAGAATTCTTTACCAGCCACAAAAGAAAACAGGAAGGAATATCCAAGAGAAAAAAAAAAAAAAAAAGAGCAAAGAGAAAAACCACCAAAACAAGGAAGTCACTCAGTTTTGCTGCTTGGAATAAGGCATCAGCCTCTAACGATAGGTATAGTAGATGATGTTTTTCTGCAAAATCAATCGTTCTTCCCAGAGTACTCTAAAAGCCTCTAGAAAGGCAGTTCTACTTGAGCTTAACATCAAGGTTTTCTCCTATACCAATGTATTTGTAATTGACTATTCTGTTGAATTGACTCTTCTTCTGTTTTGTTAAAGCTAAACAAAAAATAAAATTCCCTTTCCTTCTGGGGAAAATTGATATTTTTACAGGATTGAAGCCATGATGATAAGGAGGACTGTGATAGTCCTAGATTTCACCACGGTCTTCCTATCAACTAGACTTCTACAACCATCACTTGCAAGTATTCCCAAGACAAGCAGTTTTAAATTATTCGGGCTCAAAAACAAGTCCTGTGCCAGCTGAAAGGGTCACAATGAAACAAGAGCCCAAATGTTTACCACCTTAATCCTTGAAGTCTAGCGATTAGTGGTTATTCTATCCAAAGAATTTAAAAATAAAAACCCAAACCCACCACCACTACCCCCAAACCCACCTCTTTATATCCCAAAATTTCAGTCTAAGGCTCTTTTTTTTATACCACTTCTAAATATCTAATGCTTAGAACCATATAAATCCATAGCAAACATCCAGAAATCCAACAGAAGTACAATAGCTCTACTGAAAAACATACAATCTCCTTTTTATTTCTACTTTTCTAATTTGTGGTAAAGGCATATGCCCTAATATTCATGTCAGATTTATTTCATGACTACCAAAATTTTTGACTGAAAAAGTATGCAATGTGTTTAGTCATTCTTCCTTTCTAGATCATACAGAAGATTTACCATCTTTACTATCTTAAAACAAATCATCAGTGCATTTTACTATATAACAGCAAAGAAAAATTAGACTAAGAATCTTAGCCTCTATAATTTCAGGAACTTAACATTGAGACTGCCTACCCTGAATAGCCAG